ACGACTTTTCAAGAGCGCCGAGACACGGTACTCCACGACCGAACGCGAAGCACTCGCTGCGAAGGAAGGCTTGGTTAAGTTCCAGCCTTTCATTGAAGGAGAGAACATACTTTTGATCACAGATCACTCAGCTTTACAGTGGGCGCGAACCTATGAGAACGCTAACCGCCGGCTAGCGGCCTGGGGGGCAGTATTTTCTGCGTACGCTCCGAAATTGGAAATTATCCATCGGGCGGGACGTGTACACTCCAATGTCGACCCTTTATCCCGTCTACCTAGGGCGCCACCAGCACACGTATCTCCTTTGGAAACCAAGGAGCCATCCATTCGTGCAAAGGAGTCACTGGACGAGCGTCAGGAGATTGCCCCTGCTGAGAAGATGGCAGCATTTACATTTGCCGCATGGTCAATCGAGGACTGCTTGAATGAACCGAAGGAAGTTTTAATCAACGTCCGATCACGAAACAAAGATTTACCCAAATCGAGGGACATTCCAACTTCTGACAACTTTCAGAGCGGCGAAGTTGAATCCGATGAGTTACATACTTTGGATACGACAATCGAATACTGGGGAGCAGTCAACCCGCCACCTACTATCAACCTAGCAATGAGTGAGACCGCCAAACAGCAATGGAGGCAGTCATACCTTGAAGACCCCATGTTCCGGAATATTGCGAAAGACGACGATAGTCGTTATGATAAGCTCGGTTCCGGAAGGAGATTCTTTGTCGATCAGGATGGGATGATCTTCTTCAACAATGAAGATTACCAACCCCGTCTATGCGTTCCGTCAGGCCAGAGGAATTTCATCTTGAAAGAGGCGCACGAAAATCCCTTGGAATCAGCGCACGCAGGACCCGAACGCTTATGGCACTCTCTCAGCTCCAGATTTTACTGGAAGCGTATGAAATTGGACATCGTCAAGTTTTGCAAGTCATGCGATGTATGTCAGAAGACAAAATCTTCGAACTTCACCAAATTCGGGATGCTAATCCCTAATCCCATCCCGTCACGTCCTTATCAATCCATCTCGATGGATTTTATCGTCAACTTACCTTGGTCCGAGGGCTTCAACGCGATATACGTTGTAGTCGACCGTCTTACGAAGCACGCTTCCTTTATCCCTACGACTACGGGTCTGGACGCGGAAGGTTTCGCTCTTCTCTTTGTGAAAGTCATAGCATGTCGATTTGGGCTCCCCGAAAGCATTATCACGGATAGAGACCCTCGGTGGTCAAGCGACTTCTGGATGGAAGTCGCCAAGTCGCTACGAACGAAGATGAGTTTATCCTCTTCCCATCACCCCCAGCACGATGGCCAGACAGAGGTAGTGAATAAGTTGCTCACCACCATGATACGCGCCTTCATCAATGGAAAAAGGGATCAGTGGTCAATATGGTTGCACTTGCTAGAATTCGCTTACAACAGTGCCGTTCACTCCTCGACAGGGACGACTCCATTTCACCTACTCCTGGGGTTCCACCCGAGGACACCATTAGACTTCATAGGGACTAAACATTCAGGAGAGCTTGAGTCGCGTTCTTTAAGCCCCGAAGCGACGACATTCTTGGAGAATTTCGCGATGCACAGGGACAGCGCCAGAGCAGCTATCGCTAAAGCTCAAGGTCAGCAAGCAAAGTCTTTCAACAAGACTCGGAAGCCAATCCCTCACCTTGTGAAAGGCGACCGAGTTCTTGTGAACCCGCATGCACTAGAATGGATCGAATCTAAGGGAGAAGGCAAGAAATTAGCGCAAAGATGGATTGGACCATTCAAAGTGATCCAACGCATCAACCCGAATGTTTATCGTCTGCGGATGAGTAACTTATATCCAGGACTGCCTATTTTCAATTATCAGCACCTAAAGAAGTATGAGGACTCACCCTCGGAATATGGAGATCGTCAAGTTCTCCCGGAGACGAGAACTACTAGACCGGCTCAAGAGGAATATGAAGTGGAGAAGATCATAGCTGAAAGACGTACCAAGAAGGGTCTCGAGTACCTAGTCCGTTGGGTAGGCTACAGCCCACTTTACGACACTTGGGAGCCTCGACGCGCCTTGACGAATGCGCCGGAAGTAGTCTCAAAGTGGAAGAAGACTCGTGGGGAGAGTCAGGCGTTGTAGATGAGATCGGACTTAACTTATTTCGCTGATCGGATCGTGATCCGATCAGTTGACGACACCACATGATTCCGTTTCCACTTGCCATTCCCTTTATGTTGTTTTCTTTCTTCTTTCTTTCTTTCTTCTTTCCTTCTTCTTTCATATCCCCCCTTCCAACCCTACCACCCTAAGACTATCGACAATGGATTGCCTTTACACAGACGGCGATGGCAAAGTGCCTACTTCGGTGCGGGAGAAGACAATTGCGGGTGAATGGGTAGCCCTGAATGCTTCCGCAGGCAAGATTCCCTCCACAGCGGTCTTCGAGCAGGCACTAGAAGATCGCGCTTTTCTCTTGCCCGAACTGGCAGCGCGACCCACAAGCTGGACCTGGACGAAGCAACCTACGTGGTACTCAGATAAGTATCACTGGGATGCCTGGAACGTAGTCGACTACTTCGCTGACGAGAACGAATCAGTCCCGTGGTATTTTAGCGGAAGCAGCCCGGCATGGGAGAGCTCTGAAGGGAAATTCCACTTCCATCCCGAGATCCGCTCGAAAGCGGAGGACTCTCTCTCCAGGCTATGGCTATGCGTTGAAACCATCACATCGAATCCCCCCTTCAAGACCGGAACTCCTCATCCCACTAAATTCAACTACCTCCTGTTATCCGCCGCCTGGGACTCGGCGCGAGGCGCAATGTCTCTCATGGATGATGCAAAGGGACGAGCGCTCGAGTACCTCGGTTTTTTGAACTGGTGGTCTTCGTCAGTCTCCAGGTGGGAGGATCCGCTACAACGATGGATGGTGGACTACGTCGCGAGTTTTAAGTTCAGGGATTTGAAGAAAAGGGGAGTTTTTCTAGACCTACTGGGCCATTGGAGAACATTGAACGTTGCTCATCTGCTAGCAGAGAACGTACCAGTTTACTACTTTTGGCAGGACGACTTAGACGACTATCCCTGCTTCACGCGACTGTCGCCATCTATCCTTCAAGCGTACCATGATACCTGCAGTGCCTTAGACAAGACAGAG